ACACACACACACACACACACACATATATCGTTTTAAAAAGAAGAATAAAAGTCAGGAAGAGGAGGATATACTCTAGAGAAGACATTTTCCATATGTTAGACTGCATGATATCCACATACAGCTGAAAACCACTTTCTTTGTAAAGCCTTCCTTGAACCCCATAAACTAGCAATTAACCTCCCTGCATTGCAGACTATCAGAGATGATAGTTTTCATCTCTTAGCATTTATTTGAATGACTTACATTACTTATGCAAGTTGTTTATTAATCTTCTTCATCAACATTGTAAATTCTTGAGTGTACAACCAGTTCTTTCACATTTTTGGCTACCCTCCCCACCCGTATCTGGAATAATTATTACTAAAAATTCCTTTTGTGTGTCAACACTGTGGTAGGAACTGGGGGTGAGGGATGGGACATGGCAATCCTTTCTCCTCCATCTCTTCCTCTTGTTGGAATTTTGGGCGAGCACACACCTGTGCTTGTTGTGTTTCTGGACATTGTGATGTCCAAGACTCAAGCTTGGTGGTCAGTCATGTGGGATCTGGCTACATTAACCACAAGGCCATTGAACTGGTCCTTGTTTTTATGGGCAAATAGAGCTACCCACTTTAATAACAATTTTCTTCTCCCTGTCCTGTCTCTCTTTCTTTATTTTCTTCTCTTTTCCTTCTTTTCTTTTCTTTTCTTTATTTATTTTTTGGTTGGTGGGGTAGAGATTTTTATTTTATTTTATAGTTTATCATTTACATTGAATTGTTGTACATCTTTGTACAATATAGATCTTGTTAAAAACACAAGTGCTCACGCCTACCCTTGACCTTGTGAATCAGAAACTCTGAGATAGATCTAGCAATGGGTGTTAACAAACCCCTCCAGGTGATTCCAACGTACATGCAAGTTCAAGGACCGCTGCTCTACACATATGGTGGACTTAGAAATCTAGTAGCTCTCATCTGCCTAAAAAGGACCTCCCTTCATCTCCTCAGAGAACTCCTTTTTTTTTTTTTTTTTTTTTTTTTTTTTTTAAAACTCTTTTTCAAAGCTTTCTTATTTTTTTTTTTTTTTTTTTTTTCAGTGAACCTCAGGGCAATTGCCTTTGCCCCTACAGATTTGGTGCTGTGGGTAGGGCAAACCAAAACCACTTACTTTTCAGAATGCTACAAGGTCAGAGTATTCAGAACCTGACAAGTCAACATAAAAAGGTAAGAGTATCTTACCAGTCAGATCCCTGGTCTCCATTTGTTGAATTTGGATGAGTAGATGATAAAAACCACTGTCCTTTTTTCCTTTTCAAATTAAGATTAAGAGTTCAAAGAGATGTGTGTGGACTAGCTAGTCCTAGGTATAGTGACTACAGTGATTTTCTGGTATGAGTATTCATTGTCTGATACTTTCTCCCAGAAACAATCTATTTCCCTTGTCCCTTCACCTCCTAAGAAACCCCCTTTTTTTTTTTTTTTTTTTTTTTTTGTCTTGTTAAAGCTCATTTCCAAAGCTGCTTAATGCAGGAGGCTTTCCAAGCCTGGAGGAAGTAACTTCAGTTTCTCCCATCGTCTGGTAAGCGCCACATTCTCCAACTCCCACCCCACCCCAGCACAGGATATTCACATTGTTTCTTAAAACAAAAATAAATAAATACAGAAAACCAAAATCAAAACTTCAAACCAACCACAAAAAGCACTTGGTGTGTGTTTGGACAATATGTGAATAAACATATGACATGTTTATTTTACTGTTTAAGAGCTTAAACTTCTGGACTCAAAGAATGATAACATATTCAGGGGTCTTCAAAACAGTTGTGAAAAAAAAGTGTATTATAAAAAGAATTTGCGTAGTTTTCAAAATTGCTTTGCATTGAAATAAACTCCTATTTTAATTCTATTTTCCACAAAATTAAAAAAAAAATCACTTCACACACTGTCTGGCAACAAGGGAACTAAACACATTTTTAAACATGGGATCATAGTGCAAATTTACCCAATCTTAATTCTGCCTCATTATCTGCTATAACATCAGAGGGCTCGATTTAATCAATGTTAATATATTGACATCTATAAAATATATTTAAAATTATTCATCAGGAATTATGTCCCTGTGGTGCTCGAGCCACTGAGTGGAATATATGAAAATTCTAACCCCTATTTCCATGGTCACACCCCTGCAGCATTCTGTGCTTCTGGCTTAACTTTCCCTGGGAACAAAGACCGAGAACTTTTCTTGGTACTGAGCCATGCTCTCATCTGGGATAAAGATTTAAGAAAGGGGAAGGGAGCTTTTGTTCAGATTATAAATGCCAGATGCTACCTCATTAATCGCCCTGCACATCCCAGTGGTACTTACTTCAAACATTTGGTTTTCAGACCCTCTTCTTTACAGAATGTGCTGGTAACTGTCAGGAGTCCCAGAGAAGTGGCCCCTTACATTCATGAGCACATACTCTGAGATTGCCAGTGACCGATTATGGGGAAATCCCTGGACATTAGTGTGGTTTATCAGCTTTCTCGCAGAGCAATCTTTCCCAGATTGGAGACTTCCAAGGCCAGAGTATCATGAGAATTGTTAAAGAGGTCACCATGTTGGCTTCTAGCCAGGAAGACATAAACCACTATCAACAAAAGGCATTTCAGCCTTCGAGTTAGTATTGACTTATAGTAAATCTCTCAGTTATTATAAATAATAGAGCTCTTTGATCATGTGCCTTGCAGAATCTGAGGAACATTAAATGAAGCTGATGTGCAGGAAAAAAAGGAATGAAAAGAATGTGAGTGAGTGATAAGAGAAGAAACAGGAGAGGACAGAATAGTCAAAAAAGAGAATGTAGAAAGAAAAAGTGGTCAAGGTGGGGAAACAGGGCTGACTCTACAGGCCAGTGGTAAAGCCATCACGATCCCACATGGCGGCTACAGCTTGAATTCTTGGCGAGTCAGCCTGAAACACACCAGGCAATCGGTGCCCAAGATCCTAAGGACTAAAAGACTGGAGGAAGGTGATAACAGTGTGAGCAGACCCTGTGAAGGGTGCTCATTTCTTTCTCTTTCTTGAACCCATGCACATACACATATGCTCTCTATCATGAGTAAACGAAAATGTAGGCAGTAAAACAGTGCAACAGAACAACTAAGTTTCTAAGGCAATGTTCTTACAGAATTACAATAATCATTTTAGGCATGGCCTTCTTTCTCTTTTTTTGAAATAGTTATGAGTCTGAATAAAATCTATTGGACCACTTTACTGATTTTTTTTTCCCTTAAGCTCCGTATGTCTTGGGCAGCACCGTTACTGATCTTGTCCTTACTTAAATTTTTATCAAATTCTAGGGCCTTGTTGTGTTTATGAATAATAATTTTTAAAAATATAAAAAATTTAAAATTTTTGTTTCTTATGGCTTTGTATGCATTAATTTTGATTTTTTTAAAAAAAGTTTCATTATGGAACCAACCCCATGGCCTAGTGGTTAAGGGAGCAGGATCTCATATGGCCAACCACAGTTTGGGAGAGGTTTTTGCTATAGGGTACGTGCACTCACCAGAAAGACAGAGAGAGACAGAGAGACAGAAAGCGAGAAATCACCCCCCAAGGGGGATGGCCACACTGCAATCCCTTCGCCTCCATTCTCCTCTTGGGATCTTGGGCACGCATGCACATGCACCCAGTGTGAGTTTAAGCAACTGGGTCCAAACCGCGGTGGACTATAGCCATTACGCCAACTGCTGGTCCCGCCAACCACAGTTTGAATCCTGCTCCAACAACTTGAAAAATATGCGGAGCACATGTGTATGCATGCCCCAAATCCCAACAAGATGGAGAGATGGAAGAAATTATGGCATGACCACACCCCATTTGAGGGGGGTGCTTTCTGCTTTCTCTCTCTTTCTTGTGACTGTACACACCCTCTGATAAATATATATATATAGATATAGATATATATAATATGTACATTATATATTACATACACATATAATATATACATTATATATTATATACACATATCATATATATTTATATATAATAAAAATAAATGATTAAAAAATGCCAATACAATACCACTTGTGGCATCTGAAAATTATAGGAAATTCTAGTTTTAGTGTTTATAAAATAAAATTTTATTGGAACATGATCACAGATGCAAGGTTTGTGTGCAAGAGTGCCCCAAATTCTGAAAGGATAGAGGAAAAAAGTAGATTCCAGAGTGGCCATCCTCATTGGGGGTGCTTTATCTCTCTCTCTCTCTCTCTCTCTCTCATTGTCTCGGTTTGTCTCTAGCCAGTACACATGTCCCATATCACAAAGAAATAAATTGAAAAGAAAAGGAAAGTTACCATTTGGTCCGTTAAGATAAAATTTGCCAACCTCCTCTCTATACCACTTTGCCTTTTATTTTTTTATTTAAGAATCATTTATTTAATTTTATTTATTTTAATTTGGCCAGAAAGAGACAGAGACAGACAGAGGGAAAGTGAGAAGGTAAACCACCAAGTACAGGGCTCGAACCTTGGTCAGCCATGTGGGAGTGTCCAGTGCCTTAATCACCACACCACCTACTGGCCCCACCACCTTGCCTTTTAATTTGGTAATAGAAAGTTTTTTAAACACCATTCAAAGAAATCTCAATTTTTAACAAGCTTTCTTTCTCCACTGTGAAAATAGCCAATGCTCTTGGACCCTGTGTCTTCATTCTTCTTTTACAGAGATAAATCTTTTTTTTTTAATTGCTAGAGGGCATATGGGTTCTCCAGACAGAGAAGCATTGACCAATGGGGTCTGCTCATACCACAATCCCTTTTCCATCATTTCCCCTTACCTCAGGATTTGGGGCACACGCTCATGCCTGGCATGTTTTTCACAAGCAACCAAGGCTGGGATTTGAACAGCTGTGGCCATGTGGGATTCGTCTCCATGTACACAGGACTTAACTGCTATACTGCAGGCCTAGCCCAGGTTCCATTCTTCTTTAACTTAATTCCAGTTCTCCATTTAACTTGCAGGGAAGAGAAAAATCTAAACAAAAACATAGATGTGACAACTGGTTTCTCGGTAAGGCATGGATTTCTGCCATGACCAATTACAGGAACCATAAGAAGCCAAGAGAGAGATCACACTTAAGTAACAGCAAAGAACACTTTCTCAAGCTACATATGTAATTCTATGAATAAAGAATAACAAAAACTATGGCAAAGTAAATGTCCCCACATCACAAGCCATCAAACTAAAGAAGCCATTGCAAAATTCTCTTTTTAAACAGTTAGTTGCTAATATCTACTTCCAATGGATTTCTGCTGCCTACAAGTCTTTTGACAGTCACTCTGCTGACCTGGCATCCCAGACATCATTATGTAAAATGTTCTGGGAATCCAACAGTCAGTTCTCAGCATCCTAGGTCTAGGCCCCAAGCATTATGCATAATGCTAATGTCATCAGGTGAGCCAATTGTATTCCCATAACCCTCTTCATCAGTGGAAAAAAGAAAAAAAAAAACAGAAATATCTATCCATGGGGTATGATAAGTAAGGCTGAGAATAACGTTGCAGTTCACAGCCGCTCAGGGTACTCTGTTTCTTCAGCACTTACTTCCTGCCTCTCCACACAGCCTCCTTGGAAATTCCTCCATTGCTTTCCAGGGGTGTCTTTCAACTTGTGATAGTTTTAATAACTCTCACCATCCACTAAGGGAATTCATTGAACCAATGTGAAATATTATTAACAGAGCTGGCAGAATGCTCTTCCATAGGTAAGGAGGTAGAGGTTTTTATCCCAAAATACATTTTCATAGGTAGAAATTCTATTTCTCTGCCTGACCTGCAATGGTTTAATATGTTCTTTTCCTAACCTTTGGCCTTAGTCAAATCACCTATCATAGGAAAAATGTTACCAGCCACCTAAAGTACACAGCTGATTTTCCATGAAAATAAACCATTCTTCCATTCTCCTGGCTTCCTAGATTTCTAACATATTTAATATTTTCTAGAGTCTGCCAAAGTCAAAGGGGTTTTTGAAATACAACATGCACCAGTCTGCTTTTCAGACCAACTTGATATGAGACAGTTGAATTTTGACAAGCTAGCAGAAAGGAAATGACTTAAATCAGAAGCAGGCTTTATTTTAAATGGTCTTGTTTGTGTGGTTGGGTATCCCTTCACCCCGTCCCCACCCCCCACTGCCCAGCTCTGGATGGTTCCAGAAAAAATAAACATGATTCTTAAAAGTGTCTACTTTGAAACTTGTTTTTCCCCTTCTTCGTCACTCTCTGTGTGACCCCAGGGATCTACAGAAGAGAATTTTCCAGCAAAAAAAGGGAAGAAAAGAATCAATGAAAAACAAGTCTGCTTTTATTAACTTCACTCTTTTTTCCCAGGTCGATGAGCTGTTGGATCCACCAGCAGTGAATAAAGGCTCACCTCATTCCCGGACCTCAAGAAAATAAATATTATTCATTCCAGAAGCCAGATCAGTTTGAAAAGTTTCTTGAAGAATTTTAAAAAATATGCCAGAAATGACTTAGATAACTAGATGGTTCAGGACCAAACCTTTTAAATGCAAAATACTTTGGGAAGAAAAACAAGCTTTTAAAAAAGACAAATCCCAGTAAAAGCAAAGAGAACCCTTTAAAATGTGGGAAGAAGCTGAGTCAGACCTTGTCAGCAAGCCTGGGGACTTGCAGCAACATGATTTTTTTTTTCCCAAACTTACATGGCAACTTTTATCCAAAGATCTCACAATCTTCTGCTAAAGTCAAATTGTCTAAGATTACTTTAGAAGGATAGGTTCAGGATACTACCATCATCTTAAGTCAGAGTTTCTCTGTCTTAGCACTGTTGACATTTTGGATGGGACCTTTGTTGTAGGTGCTGTTCTGTACCAGCTAGGATATTAACAGTATCTCTACCCACCAGAGGCCAGCGGCACCACCTGCCCCTTTGTTGATATGATCAAAACTGCCTCCAATAACTCCCAGTGAAGCAACACTGTTTGTTTTTGTTTTTATTTTAAATGTATTTTAATGCTATGATGTGCCTTGGGGAAGATCTTCTTGGGTTGAATATATGTGAGGTCCTTTGTATTTCTTGGTTCTAGATATTTGAATACCTCTCTAGATTTGGAAAGTTTTCTTCCAGGATTTCATGGAATGGATTATCACTGCTCTTATTCGTATTTGTTTCTTCGCCTTCTGGGATACCGTGAGTTTTAAGCCATAACCGTGGTCGACTGACTACATGGGAGTCCAGCGACATAGCCATTATGCTAACTGCTGGTCCCAGAATATTTTAAATTCTTTATCCGACATTTCCATGAGTTCCCTTGTATTCTCTGTGAAGGAAGAGGAATTATCCTTTTCTCTTTGAGGAGAGATATTTTCTTGATTTCTTATATTTCTTGTACCTCTGCAGTGGTATCTGGTCACCTGATGGGTTATATGCTTTTTCCTAGTGTTTGGAGTTAAATCTGGCTCCTCAGCTATGTCTGGGGAGCAGTAGGGTGAAGTCTGGACCAATGGTCTTCCGTGGTCCTGATCCCTGAATGTAGTCACTCAAAACTCAAATATAGATATCTGCTGATTGGCTTACCCTGACTCCTCAGTTATGTCTCAGGGAAGGGGGGGTGGCAGGAGGGTAAAGTCTAGGGACAGAGTATTTGGTAATCCTGGTTTTTTTGTTTGTTTGTTTGTTTGTTTTTTAAAGAAAGAATTTTGCTATAGGGCACATGCACTCACCAGAGAGACAGAAACATAGAAAGTGAGAAATCATCCCCCAGAGGGGATGGGCCACACCTCCATTCTCCTCTTGGGATCTTGGGTATAAACACACATGCCCCCAGTGTGAGTTTTAAGCTGCTGGGTCCAGGACTCAAACCGTGGTTGACTACATAGGAGTCCCACGATACAACCATTACACCATCTACTGGTCCCTCAAGCAACACTATTCTAAACAAACACACCAAAGCACAAAGCCCAGAAAGGGCACCTAGCCCAAAAGCAGTTGAAAAACTGTAAGAAGAAAATAATGAGATCTCTGGGACCAGCAGTTAGCATAATGGCTATGTCACTGGACTTCCATATAGTCGACTGTGATTCAAGTCCCAGATTCAGTGGCTTAAACTCATGCCAGGCGCATATGCGTGCCTGCGTGCCCAAGATCCCAAGAGGAGAATGGAGGAGAAGTGATTGTGATATGGCCATCCCCCCTGGTGGATGATTTCTCGCTTTCTGTCTCTCTGTCTCTCTCTGTCTTTCTGGCGAGTACACACACGCTATAGCAAAAACCTCTCCAAAAAAAAAAAAAAAGAAAAGAAAAATAAGATCCCCAACGTGTGACCCATTCCCCCCATGGCTCCCAACCTCAGTGCAAACTCATCTCTCAAACCACCCAGAATTCCTAATTCATTCCTGAGGTTTGTTCCAAAAACATGTCCACTAGGATTCCCCTGTTTAGGTAAGGTTTCCCTCATGCTACACTGAATGGTTGGCTTATTGAATATACCTGATTATTCTCCAGGGGGTCATTAAGTGAGGCCAGAGGCAACCCTGTAATTGCACACACAGAATCATTGATAGCGAAGGCCTTTGCTAAGTGCAGAGCTGTCGGTGAGCAGGATCGAGTGCGACCAGGAGCCCACAGGATGACTTAGTAGAGCAGATGGATATGTTTCAGTGTTTTGTTAACTGGTAAGTCCCTCAACTGCATTTATTTTTTGCGGAGCATTTCTGGGAAATGGTTGCATCATGTACACTTCTTTCATTGATTTATTTAAACAGAACATTTCATTTGCATACATATTTTTGATATGTCAGAGCTTGTCTCCTGATAAATTATAAAATGCCCGTTCCCCTCCCTCTTCTTTATGCACATCAGCGTGTGAACTTGTTGATCCTTCCAATGAGTCATTGAAGGCAGGTATGGATTAATGTGAGCAATGAACCACCTCAAACATTCTGGGAATAGAAACAGGTGTAAAAACATTTTTTTTTTCAATCTTGAACTCTGAGAGACTCAAAAGGGTGGCAGGGGCCATGCTTTTGCTCCTAATCCAGAAGCGGAGCATAAATCTGTACCATTTAGCTCTGTGTTCCATGAACACTGCTAGGAGCCCCCATCCAAGCCCCTGTGCTGAGACTATAGAGAAACAAGAATGTCTAGAGTCAGGTTCTGCTTTGATTTTATTTATTAATTTGTTGTTGTTTTGCATTGGTTCACAAAAATACTATTACATATGCATGAGTATATTATCTTTTTTTTTTTTTTGGAGAGGTTTTTGCTATAGGGCACGTGCACTCACCAGAAAAACAGAGAGACAGAAAGCGAGAAATCACCCCCCAGAGGGGATGGTCACGCTGCAATCCCTTCTCCTCCATTCTCCTCTCGGGATCTTGGGCATGCATGCACACGCACCCGGCGTGAGTTCTAAGCCACCAGGTCCGGGATGCGAACCGTGGTCGACTACGTGGGAGTCCAGCGACATAGCCATTACACTAACTGCTGAGTATATTATCTTTAACCTACACAAAAATTCTATGAAATAAGAATTATTCCCCTTTTATAGATAAAGAACTTGAAGCCCAGGAAGGTTAAGTGATTTGTCTGAAGTTACACAGCTAGTGTTCAACAGACTCAGTCAGTAAGCCTACTGAACTCAAAGGCACGCATAATTTCCACATCACCATGCTGCCATTTCACCATTGTCTCTATTTTGAGAGACTTCTCCTGGTCCAGAAGCAGAGTGTGAATCTGTACCATTTAGCTCTGTGTTCCGTGAACACTGCTAGGAACCCACTGGCTCCAAGCCCATGTGCTGAGACTTTAGAGAAATAAGAATGTCCAGTCAGTTTCTTTTTTATAAAAGAACAAAACAGAGCCAGCTCCATAGTGCAGTGGTTAAGGAAACCAGATCCCACATGGCTGACTACGGCTCGAGTCCCAGCCTGTTGGATTGAGGAACTTGTCAGGTGTGTATGCACACATGCCCAAAATCCTGACTGGATGGGGAAAGGGGATTGTAACATGGCCATACTCTGATGAAGACAGCTCTCTTTAGGAAGTGTGTGAACTCCCTAAGAACAAATTTAATAATAATTTTTAAAAAGTATGAAGAAACAAGTTAACATGGTACCTGTTGAAGTAGAGGGATTGATAAAATAACCATCAAGGAAAATAAAATTGATTTACTGTATTTCAAGAACAAAAAACAGAACAAATATTAACACAATAACCATCAATAGGATTCTTAAGAAAAATGAGAAAAAAAGTAACTTAGAATTTTAGGGGAATAAAAATAGCTGTGAGGATGCTTACAGAGATTTTACCTTCCTTTGGACTGATGAAATTCAATAATTGAGCAGATTAAGGGCCTGAAAACCTCACGTTTAAACTCAAAATCCAGTAGCACCTCTCTTACTATAGAGAGCAAAGATTAGGCTATAGCTGTATCCAGAGATATGAAGGAAAAAAAAAAAGAATTAGTTAGCTCTCCAAAGATCTGAAGGGATTTTCTTTTTGGTGGATTATTTTTAAATAATCTATTTTTATCCTTTAGGATTGAATGTGTTGCTTTTCTGGAAGAGAACATAGTGACATAGAATAACGAAACATATTCAAGGCCAATAAGGATTTAAAGAGACCTCTTCATAAAGTACTCTACTATGAGCTGGCTGTATACAACTGTCTCACTTAATCCTTAGGACAATAAAGAGAGGTGTATACGGTATCAATATTTTGCAGATGTGAAAATGGAGTTGCAATGACCCTTTTATTCTTTCCCAAGGTATCTCTGGACTCATGATGTGCTTGCCTCATGAGAACCAGCCACCTTCAACAGGGGAGGGTGTCCTCCCAGCCCAGCCCAGGCCTGCCCTGTTCCCAAAGCACAGACACTTCCCACGCAGCTTGCTCCACATCTCTCTGCACTCCATCCATCTGGTCCACGGAGGGAACACCAGCTGGTATGTGAACTAGCACTGAGCTATTTCCAATAGCCTGTGACCTTGGAATTGACCCACATTTCACAGCCAGCTCTTAATTATCTGCAAAAGGCTTGCACATCTCCTTGACAAACTTCTGCCACATAAATGGATTCCCACAATGCAAAGGGAATTTTCTTCTTCATCCACACAAAGAACCAGGAAGATAAGTCTATAGGAAAAAATAAATCATAGTAGCTCTTAAAGCCAAAGAGAAATGTATTCTCTTTGGGTGATCTCTTGCTCTTCTCCAGTAGGGCAGATAATTGGGGTTACTTGAATCTCTGGCCTTACAACACGGCTGAAAGTTCGTATTAGTCTATTTTTATAGATGATGAAAATGAGTCTCAGAGGTTAAGCAACTTGCCTCAGGCCATACAGCTAGTAGGTGCCAGAACTAAGACTCTTTAACCTCACTTACCTTTAGTAATTCCCTCCTCTCCCAATAAGCAAACAGCAGAGTGAAACAAAGGTAATACACTCCTTGTCTTTAAAAACATGATTTAAAATTATTAAAATTTCTGG